GCACACGCGGACACAGATACAAACTTGTCGTGTCAGATATGAAGCAAGTTCCCCACCCACTGTGCTTGGAAGGGAGTGGTAAATATTTGGAACAGTTTACCTGAACATCTGATGGAGGCAACACCCGTGAGCAGTTAAAGCCGTTGTTAGATTTATTTTACCATAATTCAATCCAGAAAACGATTGCACACTAACGATGACACGTCACATTTGTGAGCCCTGCAATACCGTAAGTCAGATATTTTAAATGTTACATGAGAACGACAACGATATTCACGGCTGATAATTTTTATAACGTTTTTCATCGTATTTCGAAAGAGTTGTACAGAATTCATTTCTACTTACTCTATGATACAGTATTCAGTATTCACAGCAGGAATGCCACTGAGGTCGGCTCCTAGCCATATCAGCAAGTGTATCCAGCCAAACGCGTTCATCAACTTTTGGACCTCAACCGGGGAGCAGTGACGCCCCAACTGAGGCCAGCTTCCAAGTGAGGGTCTTCATTCCTCTGGACCAAGTCATCGCTTGGCTACCCCTCCTCTTCTTCCATCCACACCCCCGGCGCGCAAACAACCCACGTCGCGGGAGTCGGTGGCCTGGCATGTGTAACACGTGGCCGAGCCATCAGAGCCTGGTGCGTGAAATGACGGTGCTGAGCGGTTGAGCTCCTTTTCCTGTGCAGTAAACAAAGCGTCGAACACGTTCGCTGCTCACACTGTGTGCCCACCAGATGTGAGCGAAACTGCGAAGGCACCAGTGATCGAACGTAAGTAGACTCATTCTGTCCGCTGATCTAAGGGGTCAGGTTTCACAACCGTACACTAAGGTCGAACGTACCGCTACATTGTACACTCTACCCTTAAAGGCGAGTGGTCGCGCCGCCGCCATAGGTGACGAAGGCTAGTAAAAGCATCTCAAGCTTTTGTTATACTGTTCGTGATCTCATTTTCAATCCTAAAGGCGCTAATACAACTGCCAAGGTAGTTGAATTTCTGAACGACTTGTAGCCCATCTCCACCAAGGGTCAGCGCAGGAGGCCATCCCTGCCAATCTTGGAGGAAAGCTATGCACTTCGAGGGTGCAAAGCAAAGCCCGAAGCGGCTGACAGCCAGTGCTAATCTGTCCAGCGCGGCTTGGCACGTCTGGGAGCTGTCACAGATACGGGCAATATCGTCCGCATACTCCAAGTCAAGAAGTCGTTCTCCTGGGAGTAGCTCCATACCATCTAAGTCGTGTCCTGTGAATGCGATCTCCATGAGTTTGTCAATAGCGAAGTTGAAGAGGGAAGGTGACTACGGGCATCCTTGTCTCACACCGCTGGACCAGACATGTTTGTCGTTCAATCTGCATCAAAGTGCGAACATTAAAAGTTGCAAGGAGGAATGGAGAACCAGGTCGAAGGAAAGCTGAGATTTCGGTAGAGTGACACAGTTGCAATCGTAGGAGATTTAAAACCAGGAGTTTGGCTATTACTTTCATCAGTTGCGAGCAGTGGGTTGCTTGTGGCGGTGATTGGGGAGGAGACAAGAGTACTTGTAGGTGAAGGACCGGAGATGGGATGATCCGTGAGTGGAGGTTGATGAAGTGAGTTAAAAGAGCTGATAGACAGCAACAAAGGCAGTAGTACAGCAGCGTGGTCCATGGTTCGTCGGTGGTTGCGATACTACCCGATAGCATCATCATCATCATTACACGTTAGCTGGAGGTGGAAAACACCTCAGCTATTGTGCCGCAATACAAAAGGCAAGAAAAGAAAAAACAAACAAACAGTGGCACGCCCGCTGAGTCCCCAGTAACGGATGGACATCGTTCCGGTGAGCTAACAGCTGGCCGCCGTAAAAGAAAGTCATATTATGCCTAACGATTGAGATCGTGATTGGAGGGGGATGCTAACCAGGAGGGGGATGGACAAAGGAACTCACAACACAAACGCCATTGGGGCCGGCTCCTAGCCATATCAGCAAATGTGTGTCCAGCCAAACGTGTTCACCGTCCTTAGGACCCCAGCCAGGCAGTCGGGATGCACCAACCGACGCCAACTTCGAAGTGAGGGTTTTCATTTCTCTCGACCAAGTCATCACTTGGCCTCCCCTCCTCCTCTTCCAACCGCACCCACAACGCGCAAACAATGCACGTCGTGGGAGTCGGTGTGCTGGCATGCGCAAGACGTGGCCCAGCCATCGGAGCCTGGTGCGTGATATAATCGTGCTGAGCGGTTCACTCGCTCTTCCTGCACCAAATACGCGACGTCGAACACGCTCATTGCTCACGCGGTGTTCCCACCAGACATGAGCTAAGCTGCGAAGGCAGCGATGATCGAACGTGACGAGTCTCTTCATGTCTGTCGACCTGATGGGCCAGGTTTCACAGCCATATAGGAGAGTTGAACGGACGGCTGCGTTGTAAACTCTGCCCTTCAGGGCGAGAGTAATGTCGCGTCTGCGCCACAGGTGGCGGAGATTGGCAAAAGCACCTCGAGCTTTTGCTATACGGTTCGTAACCTCATCTTCAATCCCACGGGTGCTAATATAGCTGCCCAGGTACTTGAATTCCTGAACGACTTCTAGCAGATCACCACCAAGTGTTAGCGCAGGATTGGGTCCCTGCCAATCTTGGAGAAGTACTTTGCATTTTGATGGAGCAAAGCATAGCCCAAAACGACTGACAGCCAGTGCTAATCGGTTCAGTGCTGTTTGGCATGTTTGGGAGCCATCACAGATTAGGGCAATATCGTCTGCATACTCCAAGTCAAGAAGTCGCTCACCAGGGAGTAGCTCCACACCTTCTAGGTCGTGTCCAGCGAACGCTGTTTCCATGACTTCATCAATAGCGAAGTTGAAGAGGAAAGGTGACAGCGGGCATCCTTGTCTCACACCGCTGGTGATACTGAAGGGTGGCGAGAGTTTGCCATAAACCCTCACCCTGCCCGAACTATGTGCGTACAGCGCTTTGATAATGTTTACATATTTATCAGGCACACCTTTCCTCAACAGACAGTCCCAAAGGGCACATCGATCGACTGAGTCGAAGGCACCTTTTATGTCAAGAAACACGACAACGGTGGGTCGGCAATAAACATGGCGGTGCTCCAACACTTGACGCAGTGTGAAGATGTGGTCGATGCAGCCCCGACCTAGACGAAATCCGGCTTGCTCTTCACGAATTTGGCTTTCACGAGTGCCAGTCAGTCTGTGGAGAATGAGAGAGGCAAGCAATTTAGAGGCAATCGAAATCAGACCGATCCCTCTATGATTGCCACATACCAAACGGGAGCCTCCCTTGAAAATTGGGACAATGACGGAGCGGTTCCAGTCTGTCGGGACTGTCTCCTGCTCCCAAAGTTTTACTAGCAACTCGTGTAGATCACCTATTAGAGCAGGTCCACCGAACTTGAAGAGGGCTGGAGGAATCGTATCTGCTCCTGTGGCCTTATGCAATTTCAACAGCCTGATCTCACGTTCGACTTCAGCGCGTGAGGGCGGATCCAGGGAGACGGCCCAAGGAGAAGGGCGTTCAATGCCCGAAGAAAGTGATAACTCAGGTTGGTTAAATTGCATAGCAAAGTGTTCAGCCCAACGCTCCAAGCGTTTTGACAGGCTGTGGATCATCTGCCCACTCTCGTCGCGTATGGTCTCGCTAACACCAGGTCTCCTGCTGCCTGTTGCCCGTATCAGACGGTATAACTTACGATGATTACCAATGGCAGCGGCTGTTTCCATCTCAGATGCACGATGAGACCACCAGGTTTCGCGGTCCTTCTTTAGGCTAGCACGTAGTTTCGCCCTGAGATTTTTGCGAGATTCATTGTATTCGCTTCCAGCCGGAATACGTCGGCGAGCATCCATAAGTTCCAGAGACTGTGTAGAGACCCAATGTCCGGTTTGGCAATTTGTTTTGCCACATGAAGACATGCCTGCTAATAGCAACGCTTGACGAGTGTGCGACCAGTGATCTTCAACGGTGTTTAGTGGGCGCTTACTCAGCCCAGATGTCAGCGCATCTTGGTACACATTCAGAACATCTGGCTTCGCCAGCTGGCTAGTGTCAATCCGTTCACATCGACGTTGCGGACGTCCACCGAAGCGCATCAGGAGGTCGGCACAGACAAGTGCGTGGTCAGAGTCCACGCTCGTGCTCCAAATCGAGCGACAGTTTTGGATAGCCCAGGCCGAAGTAGAGGGTTGTCTTAGGGGAACTTCCCTGAACCTACGATCAATATCTGACCTGCAAGACAGCAGGGCGATGTGAGCGTGTCGCAACCCGCTGGAAGCCGGTGACCAAACAAATGGTTTATACGACATTCAGTCTGTGAAGGACCAGTGGGCCCACCACACACTTGAAGTAGAATACCACTCAGGTACAGGCGAGAGGCAATGACTGGCTTTAGTGGCGAGTCACATCCGCCATGCGGCAGTGTTGTGAGACGGACCTTGGTGGCCTTTTATAGGGAGGACGCTTGCCAGGCGAAAACCCACCACGTCCTGGAACACTGAAGCAGAACTATTTCCTGGAACGGGGAAAACCCGAACCATTCACTGACTGCCTTGCAATAAGTGATCGTGAAGCTGGTATGCGGATGTTAGGCCGCCGTACAGCCGTGAAAGTAACAGGTAGGCTATAGGATATCATGCGATGATGAGCAGCAAATTAAATTACACAAGTATCAAGGTGTCCTATTTCATTAGCATTTGACGGCTATCTATAAGTGCATTTTCACACCTGATAGCCGACAGTCGGCTTCAATAACTGTCAGATGTTGTTCAGAGCGATGAGCACCGATCGTGATTAACAAAACTCAGCAACAACTTATTGCTAGAAACGATTACCATAGAGATACACTAAACGATTTGAAACACTTACAAACACAAACATCTAGCTACCTGCAGGTGGTTGCGCAAGCGATGTCAACACAAGCATCTCCTTAACGGCATCAGAAGACAAAAAAGTGGCGTCTGAACGATATTGATATGAAGTCAACAAAAGCAATTGCAACGTACCGATTTAAAACCGCCTCATGCTCTTTCCAACGAAATATGCGGGGTCGAGGATTTCCTGGTTGAGGCAAAGGAGTGACTGTTCCAACCTCAACGAAGGCAAAACCCATTTTCAAAAGACCCATTACAGCCTCTCCATCTTTATCGAAACCGGCCGCCATCCCAACGGGATGTTGAAAGTTAAGACCAAATGCGTTACAATTCAAAAAGGGGAAGGCATTCTGCGGTTTTGAGGGTGTAATACCAAACTTAGTGGCGCGTACAGCGAGAAAATGAGCTAGTTCTGCATCCGGAACCAGTGCATGCAACGTTGGCATAACGACTTGCCGATAGAAACGTTCGTTCCCTGAATACAGGGCTTCGGTCGTAAACACCCCGAGGCCGAGGCCCAAAACACCGACAGCTGTTCTCAGCCGGGCAGCTTGCTAAAATGAAACAATGGGGGAAATGAGCGACAGGCATAGTCAAGGTTGCGTGCAACAGATCAAGCGGTTATGTCAACATTTCGGCAAATGAATGCACAATAAGGACAGAGAGTGAGGAAAGAAAGCAGTGACAATCAACCGGAACAATTGAACAATACCATGAATGTTTTTTCTGCGTATCGTTCAATCAGGAATTGATAGGTTGGTTTGAGATTTTGATGAGCCTAACAAAAACCGCATCAGAACCTAGTCAACCAATTATTGCCCGCATCTAGTGCCTAGCAGTCCCCGCCATGCCGGTTACGTGGAGTAAGTGTGAAAGATTAGCTAAGAAAACAATAGGAATGTCAACTAAATAATCATAATACCAAGACATGAGAATAAATGGAAAAAGTGTAAAAGAGAGCTAAATATACTCGTTAGGAGAAGGGTAAGCTTTGGTATTGCCACATAAGATCATCTGACGCTCGAAATCCCCAACCCGACCACATAACGACGTGCGCCGGAACCGAGTTCTAACGTCTAATAACTCGGCGCGACAAACAGGTTTCCGTCCTAATCCGGTCAGAACGTAATTTGTGCAGCCTTGGTGGAACTAAACAAACAGGACAAGTCGGGACCGATCTTACCCGTTAGGATACAGCAAGTGAGGACCAAATCTCCTCTGATTATTCGGCAGTTCACTGAGAACACTTATAAGCTAAGCAAACGTTAGGGATACGTTTGTCCTGGTAAACCTTGCAATAACGTCGTACCCACTCGTAAAACTCTTTGCAGTTCTATTTTGTCCCCTACAAGACATGGTGGACAAACCTGGATACGGTATTCTAAGTGGGGTCGCACAAAAGCTGAAAAAAGCTTCACAACTATATCGGCCGTTAAGACTCCGAAGCAGGAGCGAACAAACCTTCATATGAAAACTACAAGCAGCCTTCTTCCACTTGTTCCCAAAATAAAGGGCTGAGGTGTGGACGACATATAGAAGAATCTGCTGAGTCATCATCATCAATACACGCCTCAGCTAATGTGTTGTAATACATAAAATGTTGAGATTAAGCAATGCAGACCAAAAAGCCTAAAAAATAACAATGCTAAATATCACATCTGAGGTCGTTGGGGGAAACTAAAGGAGAGGGGAAGGACAAAAAGACTCAGAACACAAACGCATTGTGAGCTAGTGTATCTAACCAGATGTGTTCATTGTCCATCGTGGGAGAGTTGACTTCACACGTTGGCAGGAATGGGTTTTCTGGTTGGCGTACGGTTGAATATTTGGGAAACACAGAATTAACAGATGTAAGGAACCATGAACATGGGCGAGTTTGAATGATAGTTTAAGTTCAAGTGGGACTGGAACAGTAGGAGAAATCCCCGAGAATGTTCCTTCCGTGGCGCGTCGCCGATTTAGGGTATTATTCATCCGCGATAACTAGAATCCAGAAGAGTCAGATCAGCGCGCGCGAAGCACACCACAAGCAACCAATTAATACCCACGCGACCTGCAGTGGCAGTCCCCGCCGCACCGGTCACGTGTAATAAGAAACAGAAGTACGAAAGTAATAAGAGCGTTAAGAACCAAAATATAATAGATTTAATAATTCAATAAGGCTAATAAGCTAAGATGTGGAAAGAAATGTTAAGAATTGAAGGCCAAGAGCGCTAAGTCGGTCTTCGAACTCTCACTGTTGGTGCCAATACCATGTTCTCAGGCAGTGCATTCCAGGAATCCACCACTCGGCGTGATAAAAGAAAGGCCGCCTGGACTCCATCCGATCGACAATTGTGTAGCTTCATCGAGTGACCTCGGAGCGATGGGAGCCGAGCCGGTTTGAAAAGCCTCGATAAATCGGGTCCGATTTTACCGGTAAGTATACGATAGGTCAGGACCAGGTCGCCTCTATGGCGACGATAACGCATTAAAATATTCCCAGCGCAAGTAGTCTTTCTGGGTAAGAATGGTTCCGTAGTCCATGAACCAATTTTGTTCCAACTCTCAACACTCTCTATTGACATCCTGTCCCTGACTAAGCAAGGTGGACAAGACGGGACGCAGTATTCTACATGTGGCCTAACAAAGACTGAAAATGACCTAACAAACATAACGCCCGTGATGGTCCCGAATGCCTTGGGGATCATTCACAACATTCTGAAACCCTTGCACGTAGTTTTCCTCCAGTTCTCACTGGATTTAAGTTCTGAAGACAACGTGACCCCTAGGTCTACCAATTGTGGAACATGATGTAGTTCATTACCGCCAAGCAGATAAGGCGTTTGGGGGCCATTTGGCCCTAATCGTAAGGTGGAACATTTTGCATAACTTATAAGCAACTGCCACAGAGCAGCCCAGTTCCAAAGTTTATCGAGGGCCAGTTGCAGAGTCTGGGGTCCATCGAGGTCGAACACTGTGTGCCAAAAAATCAGGTCATCTGCAAACATGAGAGATGGTACCTCCAGCTGTTCTGACAGCTCATTGACATACAACGAAATTAACAACGGGCCAAGCACCAAATGTTGAGGGACCCCACTGAGGACTGACTGACGAAAAGACAGCCTAGACCCCACAAGAACACACATCTCTCTCCTTTCCAGAAACGTGGTGATCCATTTTAATGCACGCCCTGATATTCCATAGGACCGAAGCTTCAAGGAGAGGCGAGAATGTGATACAGTGTCGAACGTCTTGAAGAAGTCAATAAACACTACATCTACTGCATGACCACGATCCAAAGCATCCGCCCAACATTCGCGTGCAAGTAGCAAATTAGTCATTCAGGAGTGACCCTTGCGAAACCGTGTTGAAGTGGACTGAGCAGAACAAACTCCCGCAGGTGGTTTTCAAGCACATTCCTGACCAACTTCTCCAATACCTTGACCAGTACGCTTGTTAAACTTACCGGTCTATAATTGGCAGGGAGATGCTTGTCGCCCTTTTTAATAACCGGGCAAACGATAGCATCCTTCCAGTCCTTGGGAAGGTGTGGCTGCGAAGCGACAACTGAAACAAACGCGTTACTGGGCCACATAGCTCGCTTGCGAGTTCGTACAAAAGCTTAGGGTGAATATCATCCATCCCAGCAGATTTAGCAGGATTTAGCCCTGAAGAAGATGGAGAAGTTTTGCCTCCGAAATTGTGACGTTTGTTAAACAGGAGTCCTGGGGGACTTTCATTGCTAGGTCAGCATGCAGCGATTGCTCATCCCGAACAAAGTCCCGGCATACTGCGCACTGAGTAGACAGGCTTTTTCGTGATCAGTGTTGGCAGTGGCGCCGTCGCTGCCTAATAACACTGGGATAGATGAGCCAACGTTACTACGCCTTTTGACGTAGGCGAAGAATCGTTTGGGATTTGCGGAGGCTGAGTTAGCCAGCTCCATCTCATAGCTAAGTCTAGTAGCTCGTAAATGACTCTTGCAAGCATTCCGCGCTTCACGATAACGCCGAAAAGTACATTCCGAGAGAACTGTCCGGTAGATCCGCCAGCATCTCGCCCGTCTATTCATTAGCTGGTGTGCGACTGAGTCCAACCATGGTGGCTTTGCTTTGGTAATCTTCTTCACCGAAAAGGGGATGTGGATGTGGGATATATTAAAGAGGAAAGACTTAAACGTATCCAAAGCCGTCTGTATATCATCATCCGGCAAGATGATGCATCGGGAACTTATTGCCTTGGCTCTAATAGGCTGAAAGTCGGCATGCCAAATGTTCGGACCCTGCGTGAATCGTATTTTCATGAGAGCACACTTGAACGATAAACATACATGTCACTGGTTTCCACAGCGGGACCATGCTCAAGGTCACTCACAGTCAACCGACTGCGAAAACTAGGTCCAAGAGAGGAGCATAAACTTTCATGCACCTGGTGCGTCGATCGACAAATTGGTGTAAGGGTACTTCTAGTATCAAGTCAACAAGGTTGCCAGCCAACCGTTTTGTCGCTGCCTCATAAGATAGGTCATGTCAATTTACTTCAGGAACGTTGAACTCCCTCCATTATCAAGCGGCTGTTCGCGGAGTGAGTGCAGATGAAGTCAATGAAGCTCATAGAAGCGCTATCAGGGCTCCTGTAAAGCAGCATAATTGTAAATTGCGTTGACTCAGTACAGACTTCAACTGCAAGAGCTTCAACAGTTTTAGCAGCTGAATTACAAGGATGTTTTTGATATGTTTACACCACATCTAATGTACAGGGCGACTCCACTTCCGCGGCGATCAGATCTCAGTATTGCGTAGCCCGGAACATATAATTCACTGTCCATGACGTCAGAAGACAACCATGTTTCACTGAACGGGAATACATCAGAGAGGTTGGAGTTGCACTTGGGATTAGGGTTAGGTGTATTGTATAATGCATTAAAAATCCGGATTCCATAGTGATTAGTGATAACATAGAGGAGTATGGATTCAACATCATCATCAATACATGTTACCTGAGGGTGAGAAACACCTCAGCAAACGTGTCCCAATGAAAAGTAAAGTAATAAAACAAGCACACTACAGAATTCAAGGCAAGTGGTAGAATGTTAAGTAATATACTATGCATTTCGCATAAGATCATACTTGCAGGGGAACCTAAAGGGGTGGGGGATAAACAAAAATCACAACACAGACGCCACTGGGGCCGGCTCTTCGCCATATCAGCAAGTGTATCCAACCAAACATGCTCATAGTTCTTTGGATCCCAGCCCGGCAGTCGAGATTCACCAACCGACGCCAACTTCGAAGTGAGGGTTTTCATTTTTCTCGACTAAGTCTTCGCTTGGCCTCCTCTCCTCTTCAAATCAAATCTCCCGCGAGCAAACAACGCACGTCGCAGGAGTCGGTGTGCTAGCATGCGCAACAAGTCGCCCAGTCATCGGAGCCTGGTGCGTGATATAATGGTGCTGAGCGGTTCACTCGCTCTTCCTGTATCAAAAACGCGACGCCGAACACATTCATAGCTCATGCGATGCTCCCACCAGACATGAGCTAAGCTGCGAATGCAGCGATGATCGAACGTGACTA